AAAAGTAAGAATCTATCTAAGAACCTACATATTTGTGCTAATTACCATCTATGTAAGAACCCATTTAGGCTAACTTAGGAAAATGCAGGTTCTTAGTCATGCATTTTTACCGTAGTGGGTACATGTACATGGATTTCAAGTGTCCCCCTCCTTGATGACGTACCTTAACATTCCTCTTATCATTACTCTCTGGTGTTAAAATGTAAGCATCAGGTAAATCTGAACCATGAACACTCAAGAAACAGTTTGTAGTGTGGCCAATACCCATTGGTAATATCTTGTCTTGTAACATAGCATTCACTGCGGTACTTTTACCATTACTGGTACGGCCAAAGAACGCCACCTTCATCTGGTCTCTAGCTAACACCTCTGATATGCCTGAAACTTGAGCTAGAAAGCCTGACACCTGTTCAAGTATAAATATGACACAAATCTTAATATAAGAGATTAAAATTTCCTAACTTGAATAACAGTTTATCGTTTTAAATGTTCAAGAAGTTCATCCCAAGAGCAGACTCAGCTTTTGCAACTGTGAAATAAAAGCCTGGAATACCAGTGTAGTGCTCTACAAATTAAATTTAGGTAATAAGCCAACTCGGAGCTCATCATTTAGTTGATTTGTTATAAGGAAGGATGAAATAGAAATAATGAATGTTTTAAAATCATATATTAGAACTGCAGGAGAAGAATATAAACATAAAGAAGATCATTGCAGTTTCAGATGCAGCTTTGGTGCCTGTATCTTTTTCAGGCTTTCTTTTAACAACTGCAAAAGTTGCATCTGTAACTGGAATGATCTTCTTACACTACACTGCCTACACTGCCCCCTGCAAACAAACAAATTCTAGAAAACAGCAGATCTTTTCAAGAACTACAAGAAGCCAAGTGGTTGGGCATCCATACCATACCACAGACAGCTTCTATATTTTAACCCTCTTCCCCTTGCCTTTGGAATTTTAAAAGTGGGTCATCCACCACACCCTTGGAATTCCATAATCATTTCCACCATGCAGCTACATATACATACACATTTGTTTCAAGTGAATCCACCCTAAGTGTATCTATAGGTAGTTACAAGTTCCTAATAATTGAGACTCTCTTAGGAGGGGGAGGGAAGTAAGCATGACATCCCTTAACCCTAATCTGAATTTCAAAAGCCCTCATATAAGTATTGAAGAGGAGGTCGTGTTGCTGACAGTATTATACTATTGTATTTGTGATTTTCCTCATCACTGTCGCAGTTTCAATCCATGTTCATGTTGTCTGTTGCCATTTTATCTATCTTATGTCGCTATTTCAAGGCTGTGTCACTCGTCGGAATTTAACCCTAACAGGGTCTCGTAAGTCTACAGAAGAGTAAGGGAGTAAGAAAGACGACAAGACACGAAGACATGTTACAGGGGCGGATCTAGGGGGAGGGTGCAGGGGGTGCGCACCCCTCTCTGAGATGACCTGCGGTTTTCTAATACAACTGGTATTCTGCAAAAAAAAAAAGAACTATGTGGTTTACTGGTGTTGAAGTAGAGCAAGAGACGAGTGCACCCCCTCCTAAAAAAAAAAATTCTGGATCCGCCCCTGTGTTACTAATTAGTTACTAAGCTTCCTTACTTATTCCTTTCTCGAAAGCAGCTAAACACCCAATTGTGGGTAATGAGGTACAAAATAGTGACAGTTGAACCTCTCTACAATGGCCCCCTTGGGGACAGAAGGAAGTGGCCATTCTAGAGAGGTGGCTGTTGACGAGAGGTGACCGTCAGTAGAGGTTTGAACTGTATTTGCTTACTAATAACCATGAAATCTAGTGTTCCCGCGAGTGTCGATGAATTAAAAATATTTGTTCACAAATTTAATAAACCTGTGTAATTACGTAAGGTAAGAATCAAAATTAAAAGGCTTCTGGATGTATAAAAGCTTAATCCACTGACCTCGCTAGTAAACTTCTTGATCTCTTCGTTACTTTCATCAGCTATTATACAACCCGATAAAAAGTTGTTACAGTCCTCTAGGTACTTCCCAATGTCACCAAAAGTAGAGTTTATCTTTTGCTTCGCTTTCACGAAGTTGTGCAGAGGGGAAACGCCGTTTACACCGTTCATCTCGCCGTCTTTCATGGACAGCGCCCGTTTGAATGGCGCTGAAGAATTCCTCATAATTACACAATGAAGGCTGACCTTCCAGGAAAGGAAGTTGATGTCTTATTTAAGCGAGACGAGGGAAGATCGGAGCACATGTACACGGTAATATTCGTATATTTTCACATGAAGTTCAATATACGCACATGGATTTTGCGAGTTGAAGCATATTTTTTAGGTTGAATTCGCTGACCCCATTGAACGTCCTTCAGCCAGCACATGTCGAGGACTGGGCCGAGTGGGCCAAGAGCAAATCAACACAAAATAAGCAAAACAACAAAATCAACAACAACTGACAAACAAACACAAAATACGTCAAGGTTAGCCTAACTTCTCAAGTTGTAATTATTACTTGATGTAAAACGTGACAAGTCAGTCATTACAAGTAGTAGTAAATCAAACCCAAGACCCAAAACTTTTCGTTTATGGTTCGAAAATTGCTTGTTCACCCTACAAATCCTGCAAATCTGGTAATTTCGTAATACAAATTCACCTAAGGTTATATAGTGGCCAATAAAAGACAAAGCTAAAAGAGCAAACGACTGTCTGAGAGTCTAGGAAGCGCAAGCAGGCGGTCGGGGAAAGGTAGACTTTCAAAAAAGTCCTTCGTCAGATTTGATGGTCTTTAATATGGCTTAGGACCTCTAACGACTTCGTCACTCGGTGGGCCGCTCCGCGGCCTAAAAACACTCGCTCCGCTCGCCTAGAGGTCGACTTGTAGCAAGTCTAGGGGAAATGCGGCGGGGAGAAACACGTGAGAAACGGCCACGCGTCCCTGGCTGATCTCGGATCCGAGCGCCACAAAAACCGCGGCTGCTAATCGAGCCTCACGGAGCAATTACGCGGAGCATGGCTTGGGGAGAGAGGAAACTAAAGCTCGCGGCCTGAGAGATCAGTTCTCAGCCAGTTTAACTCTTTCTCTCCCAAAAGTGACCAACATCAATTTTCTCCTAACAGTTATTATACATCATTGAGAGAAAAGTGTATGAGAATTAAGAAAATGATCAAAAGGGATAATTCTTTGATCTTTTTTCAAATTCTCTCAACATTCTTTAAGGAGATGTATGGAGATAAGTCTTGAGAATTCGCATGTGGATATCTCTGGGGCGGCGGGGCTTAAAGGGTTTCAACTGTAGGACTAATAGACTACCCAGCGAGAGATGGTGGTGAGAGGTTTTTTGAGCTGCCAGGTTTGCCACCAAGAGCCTCCGGCCCTCTTATTGGCACTGCCATATACATTACATGTAATTACCTGAGCCTTGTGGAAGTCATTGCACTCAGAAATGCCCACTTTACAAGTCGCAGGGAAAAAAACAGATTGTTTTTTATTTTTGTCAAATACAATTATTCATTTTTTTTTAAAAAAAAAATATTATACACTATTTCACCCAAACGGATGATATAAATGTTTTTTTTGTTTATTTCTAATGTTTCTAAATTTGTCAGCGGGACTGAATTAGCCGCACTGAACTGCAATATAAATAGTGGCTATTTCATCATGTACATGTCAACATAGTTAGTCTACACAATAACGAGAAAAAATTGTCATCTGTGTATAACGTCTATTAATATATACAAATAACTGTATGTATAACCTCTATAAATGGACTATTTAACTGATTTTTAATTAACATTGGCGAATAAGTAAATATGGCTAATTGAAACGGCGGGTTCATCCCGGTATGGTTTTTTTGCTCAAAAGTGACTAGCGGCACGCACAACTGCTGAATTGTGATCTAGCTCACAACGAAAATCTTCGACCATGAAGCTCATGGCGAGAAGAATTAGACTTGTTTTCGTTTTGCTGGTCATTTGCTTCATGCAGCAGCTCTGTGCTTCGTGTAAAATTTTCTGAGCCATGCGTTGGAAACTCGCACTCGGTAGAAGAATGACCATCTAAAGATGAACTGCGAAGCTCATTCATTTCCTTGTCCAAAACTGGCTCGCGATTTTCAACAACGATGTTAATAGGTTCACTCAAAAAGTTGGATGTTTCAGAACCAGTCGGTTCTTCCTCTAACGTCGCTTCTTTTTGTCCTGAAATTTCAGCTGTTTCTTGTCTATCATTTTTCCGCGCTTCTCTCGAAACTGGCACAGTTTCATCCACAATCTCAGGAATAGGAGAGAGTTGAGAAGCTCCATCTTGATTTTTCGTTTCGTAATCTTCCCTCGAGAGATCCAGTTCTTGGAGTTTAGCTTTTTCGGAAAGAGAATCCCTCGGAATCAAACTATTTTCTGATCCCTTTTCGTCGAAGTCTTTCTGTTTCAAAGTAATGGGAGGCAGTAAAAGAGCATTGGGCCTGAGTTGCCTTTTAAGAAACACGGCCTCTCGCGGTCGAAGATAGATTGGCTGACCTTTAATCTCCGTCAAAAATGCCTTAGAGTTGAAAGAATCACTGACCAGAGTAATCGGTTTAGAAGGCTGTTGTTGAAGACTTGGTAGAGATGGGTTTATTCCCCATCTCAACGGTCGACTTACAAGGGGTTTCGATGCTCCAAGAAGTTGGTCTATGTAGGAGTAACCAACGCCGGTTGCCATTTGTCTTTGGCGAGTTGTATCGCTTGATAGTTTGCTAAAGTGATCTCGAGTAGGAAGCCGTTGAGATGGATCCGAAGAGTTCCGCGAAAGCTTGTCAACTTCAAGAACCCTGTCTTTTATTTTTTGGAGTTTCCGCTCGTAGCTTCGTATCTGGGCGTTCAAGCCTTTCACATGCAAAAGTTTCTCTTTGTTTAATCGTTGAATTTGACTTTGTAAAATCTTCTCGCTCCTGAAGTTCATCTTGGCGACATAATGTTCCTCGTTACGCTGAATAGGTCTGGTCGCCTTAGCCATCTTTAAGCCCTTGAGGTTTTAAAACACTATAATCTTACAAATACCATCACAAAAATAGTTGTGACATTACTTGCTTGAACATGACGAAATGTCAAGAAATTTCCCGTGATCAAAGATGGGTAGGAAGCATAGCCCTTAGAAACGTGACAACATAAAATGCCCCAGATGCCAGTGAATGATATTAATTACAATCTACTTATGGAAAAACTGATGTCTGTCAACAAAGAAGTCTTTGTTTATCTTAACTGAACTATAGCCAACTCGAAAAAGACACGCCAATGTTTTGTTTGTTTTAGCTCTAGGCTCAACAAACCATGTTTCCATATTTAATACTTTTAGAAAATGACTGTTCATTAACAAGGCATATGAGCAAGGTGTGAGGGGACACAAAAACATATCATATGAGGTGTCAATAAGCTGATAAGAGGTCGCCGGTACGGTGTGCAGGGTACGCTGGAAAGCCAATATACATTCTTGCTAGTAAATACTACAAGTGACCCTGTTTTTTTAACGCAATCTAGCTGGCTGGAGACTAAAACAGACAACCAACTCCAAGAACCAAGAAAGCTGGACGCGGTGATTTGAATATATATTCGCCCTGTCAGAACCCAAACATGTAATGCAATCCGGATTCGGGGATCCGGGAAATTTTGCTTGTGGAAGTGGAAATGCTGGGCTTTGGAATCCTGAATACAGCTCAAGGAATCCGGAATTCCACTAACGATTGTAGAATCCAGAATCCAAGTTTCATTGACAAAGACTGGAATCCAGTGCCTGGAATACGGAATCCACTGCATGAAATCTTGAATCCAAGACTGTTTTGGGTTCCCTTTCATAGGGCGAAAATTCCCGAAATCTACAAAGGTATAGCGCAAAAGATGAACTGGGTGCTGTCTTCAACAAATTTGTGACGCAGGCGGTGTGCGCACTACGATTGCGATGCATTGTGGATTCAAAATTTTCAAGATGGCGGCGAAGGTCGAGAAATTTCGCAGGTTATATGCTTTATTTTTCAATAGATACAGTTCTTTCCTTAGATCGTTTTTCTCGATTTCATAAGCTAATAATTGTTTAGATTTTTTCTGTGAAGAAAAACAAATCAATATTCTTCATTTCAATCTAAAACGTGGAGCCCGAAGATTCCTCCTGTAAGAGCATGAAATTTGAACCCGGTTTTTAAGAAGCTATAATTTCCATTATATTGCCCGTCGAAAGTCGAAGATAGTTGTAAGTGTTTCTACAAACCTTGTTCTACGCTAATTTTTTATCGCTCCCCAACGCGCCCCACGTTTTGTGATACTTTTTCCGAATTGAAACCGGCATGTTTTCATGGGAAAATGTAGCCTCGCGAAGACCAATGTGACATGTTACTGGAAGTGTTACTGTTGTAATCACAAGCTGAACACAAAATAGCGGGGCAACTGAGACTGATTCCTCCAAACAATAGCATTAGGTGAGCATAAAATGTTCGAAATTGGTATATGAATAGGCTGATGAGTACTCTGATGTAGGAATGTCCGTTTTTGTAATAGGACTAAAAAAAGCATAATAAAATTGCAGTCATACATGTGATTCCCTTTATGCAGGTATAAAATCAGTAGGATAAGAATTACAGGTATTAAATTAAATGATAAGTTTGATTATACAGTTAAGCCCTGTGCATTTTGAAACCAGTCATCCTTTATGAAAAATGGTTTTTGGGAGAGTTGTAAGAATAGTGCAGTGTAGAAGAAGAGTTTCATAACATCCACCAAGCTTGCACTTTACTTTTATTCAGAGAAATATGCACATCACTCTTGAGAAAAGAAAATCATAATCTACTTCCAAGATTGGTGTGTGTTGTTGTGTGGATGTTATGACTGTCAGTTTCGTGTCTAGTCCCTGTTTTATTCAGTTGTGATTAGCCTCTGTAGCAGGCATTTAAAAGGAAAGGGAAAGGGGTTTTGGGCACAAGAGAAAAGGGAAGAGTGCATGAGGAAGGAGGGAGTGATTTCAACATTCACCCGGTTGATTTTTATAATGCAAAAAACAATTAGTTGCCTGTATGGCAGGCATTTCCCTCCCTCCTTCCCTCACATTTTTCTTGCACCAAGACCCACTTTTCCTTTTCTTTGAAATGCCTGCCACACAGGCTAAGTGATGCCATTCAATCTGTTTACCCGTTTACACTGTTTAATGTATATCAAGCATTTGCATATTTTGGTGGGTTTAGTTAAAATATAAATTGCTTGATCATTGAATGTACTTTTGATATTTGAAAACCAAGGCTGAAAAAATGTTGACAGGGAAAGGAAATAGGAAAAGTGGAACAATGGGGCAGTAAAATCATGAGACTAAGAACCTGAATTAACAAAGTAAGCCTAAACAGATTCTTATATAAATAGAAGTTAGCACAAGTTTAAACTATTTAGGTTTTTAAATGGGTTCATATTTTCTGAAGAAAAAATGTAGCTAAGAGTATTTGTGTTTCACCTTATTCCTCATATAAAGTCTGCATACCAAATTAGAAGTTATGTGAGAATGGACATAAAATGAGGAATGTATTTTAATTTAAACATTGGCATTTACATTGCAGTTGGAGTGATAAGACAGCTTTGTCTCCAAAGAAGATTCTAAATGTTGATTTATCTCTGCTCAAGTGTGCAGAATTTTTTCATAGATTTCAAAAATAAGAACCTGTTTCAAATTTTAGGCTAAACAAGTTTTTATATAGAGGGGGCTCATCTGGCATATTTTAGCCTAACAGGTTCTTAAAATTCAGGTTCTAAGTCAGGGGGTTTTACTGTACTACTAGGATCCACCTCTGCAATAACTGGTAACCCAAAAGCCCTCTTTACGGACAACCACTTCATACAGACACCTGATCAAGGCTGTACTCTAGCAGAGCCCCATGGCCCCTGGCACCTAACTTTTGCTTTTGGGTGACTAGAAAATCTCAGACTTTTCATACAAATCATATGCTGGGTAGCCTAGATTTCACAGGTTCAGGGAACTGGGCTCCTTTCAATGTTCCTTAGGGCACAGCCTTGCTCATCATTACGGACGGCTTGCTTTGTTCCCTGGAAAAAAGCCCTTAAATTTTCTCTAAATTAAGATGGACAATTTGTACGGTCCCCTCAGTGTCTGTATAACAGAGTTGACTGTGAGTGTGGTGAGACCTATGACACCATATTTAAATTATAAAATTGGGGTGAGGAGAAAGGAAAGGGGTCTCAAGCTATGCCGTGGCCCCAGCCCTGATTACAGGAGATTTGTAAACATGTATGAATTTCACATTTTGAGGAGTTTTTAGAATCCAAAAACATATGTGATGACATGTGTTTGTACATACTGACACAATCATTAAACAAATAGTGGCTGAAGCTTTTAAAATCTATTGACTGCATCTGGCTTTGTAATCACAAATATGCCATTTTCAGTTTCAATCCAGTTATAAGACATTCTATGACTCATACCAATAGAAAATATTGGCAAATAAAGATGCTCAATATTATATTATCTATAAACAGGACAGAACTTCATTGTACACAAAATCTCTACTTTATTTACTTGTCTTCATGTGATGATAAATACAGATGTTAAGCAAAACGAAATGCAGACTTGGTGCCAACAGAGAAACAAGTCTTTGAAAAGATGACCCCCTCAACTTCGGTTCTCTTATTACAGCTAGCAAGTGAACATCTTGCAATACTGAATGACAAAACAAAATACGCTCACTGTGTTTAAATACCGTGGCCGGTATTCTGAAGAAGCTCTTAGTATTTTATGAGCATATCACAGCTATGCTTATCAGTACCTCTTAGCACTAGTTGCACTGATTTCACGGTGAATTCAAAATTTTCGGCGAACCGCGGGTCTTACCTCCAGTGCTTTTCATGATTGAAGCATTGAGCAAAGCGTTTCTGTTTCTTTTCTCGGTCAGTTGCAAACAGGATGCAAGTGATTACGAACAAAATACACCAGAATACACTTATCAACGGAATGAGACCGTTTTTTCCCTGAGAATTGGACAAACTTTCTTTTTCAAGAGCTTCCGGAAGAGATTCAAAGCAAAATCGTTTATATCTCCAGCGTAATTAACGAATATTCACTCCGCAGTCGAGATGTTCACTCCACGCCATCTTGACACAAATAATCAGATTGTGAATACCGCCCATGATGCTTAGCGATCGTAGTGCGCACACCGCCTGTTTATGACGCTTGCTGTTTCTTTCCCCTTCAAAAAATGTCTTTAGATGCTACCCTAAATGTTACCTTTCCCCCTAAGCACACTAAACACCTGGAAGTGAGCCCAAAATCAATTAACCCAAGTGTAAGCGAGATGACTAGCTAGCTTTCCCTTTCTTCCTGATAAGAGCATTATTTCCCTACCCTGCAGAACCAAGGCACAGTCTTAACACGTCAGTTTCAGGCGTGAGAGAAACGGACGTGGGACACGAGACGCGCCTGAAAAAAGCGAAGAATTAAATTAAATGACGCATGTTCTGCAGGCTATTATTTCCCCGGCAAAGAGTTCTGGAAACGCGAAGAAGGAAAAGTTTGTACGATTGCTCAAGAGAGATCTAGCTTAATAAGCTGATTCTCTCTTGTGTTGGATTGCTGCAAAGCCCGACCCATTAAAAACTGAGTTGCCATTGCAGAACAGACACACCTTTGTCGCGTTGCGCGGAGCTTTAATTATACCCCCTATAACAGTTTTCGCTATCTGGCCGGGATCTTCGTCCGATGCTATTGCCCCTCATATCACTGCCAATATAAAAGGCCGTTTGAATCTCCCGATCAATCAATCGTTTCGTAGTCTTTCGAAGTTCAACTGGTAGGGTCCCCGAGACTTTGAAGCCAGCTTTTCGTTCAAGCTAACAAGAGAGAGACTGGGGACAAAGCGAAGAAGTTGCCGGCTACCAAGCTACTAAGGCTATCTAAACACGTCTAGATTGTTAACAACCTTTTCGTTATGGAAGTTGTAAATCGAAGAAGCAGTACTTGACAACTTTTAGGGGCTCTTTGTTTATACATGTGATTTAGGTAAGTTAAAATATTTGGGTACCTTTGCAACCGTTTTTTTAAGATTTATAATCACTGATTAGAATAATCCTTGTCACCGTTTTCGACGCCATCTTGACGAGTAGGCAAACGCGCGAGAAATGTATACCGTATTTGTATGAGAATCTAATGTCGTATAATTTCCGTAAAACGGCTGTTCTGGAAAAATATATGAATTGTAAACTAAATCCTTGCTGCTAAGGATTCTACTGAAAAAATTGAGCGCGTTACATCCGCTAGACCTACAACCGTTTTTAAAAATTTTCTATACATTTGTCTGTAATGTTAAAGCCCGGGAAAAATTACAGACAAATACATGGAAAATCTTAAGCCAGCCTCTGGAGAAATTCAAGCACAGGTATGCCCCTCAAATTTTTAGGACAACCCTTTGCTTTGTAGCTTTAGTTTACAATTGATATTTTTTTCAGAACAGCCGTTTTACGGAAATTCTTCAACATTGGATTCTCATACAAACACTGTCATTTCTTACACATTTGCCTACTCGTCAAGATGGCTTCGAAAACCGTGACAAGGTCTATTAATTTGCATGTGAACTAAGGCTTATTAATCCCGTCATTCGGTGTGTGTGGCAGCCTTGTAAGTTCTTATGCATCTTGTAAGTTTGTAATGGCTTGAAGATGTTTCTGCTTTTACTTCCGATGTACATGGATTTCTATTTCTTGTTTGTGTGTGTTGTGTTTTATGGCCAGAAAGTAGACATTGGGAAGCTTTCCATTATTGGGTTGCCCAAGAGGGCAAAGCCCAATCAAGAAATGAGAAGCACAATCTTTCTATGTCAAAAAAAAAGACAAAATGGCGGACGGATCTCCCAGAGGGTTTGCATATCCCACTCCCTCTTCAATAAGGCTGATTTTTTAGGGAAGAGGGCATGAAATTGTGCCTAATACGGGCACCAATGCGACCTTAAAAGTAGTTTCCAGATTGACGACATTAATACTTCACTACACTTAACCTAAGGATCAAGAGTAATCTGTGGCAGTGATCACGGGGCATAAACACTTTCTTGTTCGGTTTGTTTTGGAAAAAACAGCATGTTAGTAGTCTTCTAGATGCCATCTTTAATTCAAGTAGCATTTTACATTGTGTATGACCATTTCTAGCGTCAGGAAACGCCATCTTGGATTGAAATAACCCTTTACGAAGGCCTTTGTCCTGATATAAAGAAACTGATGAATTTGTAGAGAGAAACATTATTTACTCTTTTCTTTTAAAGCAAAAATAATTTTCTGTCATAGCGGAGCTCCACGCGCTCGCGAAGCGCGCGTGGGCAGAGCTCCATTGCTAAGTAAATCTACCCATCCCAGAAAATTTGGTAATCACGTGACCGTACACCGACCGCCCGCCGTCCGTCCGCACCACAGGAGAACCAATGTTTACTCTCACACTTTTAGCTAGTTTGGGAGCCCAAGAGAAAACTAATTGCACAGGCTGCACATCAATGTTGTGATCAACTGACAGCTATCAAAACAGGGCATCCGCTGACAAGTATCACCTGACCGTACCGCGGGCTCAAGTGTCGACCCATCGAGGTCGAGTATTTTTTTAAAGTTATCCGCTGACAAATTACCAGTTTCAATTGATCGCGGGCTCAAGTTTTTTTCCAAGGATTCATATCAAATATGTTGTGTTTATGTCACTATGGCCCCGCACTATTAGGATTTTGATTTCAAACTGACCTCGGAAGGGAAAATTCATCCAGTTTTTTTTAAAGTACAGGCGGGAAGACCTTATCTTACCATGGTCACGCATTGGTCCTACGTCCAATTTTTATACTCTGATTGGTCAAAATTTGACAGGTGAGTTTATGCGGAAAAATTATGCAGCATCTTGAAAGTAGTTTACTTTGACAGCTGAAGCTGACAGAGTTTTGTGTCAACTTGTGATGTTTTTAACTTTCTTTTTCCTCTGGACGTACAAAATGAAATACAGCTGCTATCAAGAGTCTTCTGTTATTCATGGCTGGTTTGTTTACTGGGTTTTGGTTGAGAAATGCGTCGCTTGTCAAAATTCGGTAATTCGACTTTGGATGGCATCGTTTTCGTTTTTCACCTTGCTTAATGCGTAAGAGGGTTTAAAAGTCTCAAGCAACTGTGGCCTCCCTTGATAGCTTTCAGAAACTGAATCTCGAATGGTAAGCCAAAGTAATTATTGTATTTGATGTTTGTGTTTCATGAAGTCTTGCACAGTTCATGCTGACAGTTTATGCGGCAAGTTTATGCACGTTTGCAGGATTTGAGTCAATGATCTGACCTAGCCTTCAGATATATTTGCTCACCACAAATAGAAAGAAAACGTTCCGAAGGATATTTAGTTATAAATTTGGCTGTAGAAAGAAAACTTTGAGCGATTTTCTTGCTTCGAGGAGTTCACCTTCGAAAACAGTAAGCTGCTGGAAGCCGGCTAAAACATAAACTTAAGCTTTACGCTTAAAGGCTCAGGATTTTTAGAGACACTTTAATACTTGTCTTCGTGAATGAAAATTGTTGTCTCTGTAAATGTTTCACGGAATTATATCTCTTTTTTTGATGGTTGGTAGTCTCTCTTTTGCAATTTTAATCGCTTGTCCGTGCCGTTTGTTTTCATTGTTCATGACCATCGCTTGCAGGAGTACTCAAAAATGTCGCGCGTATCAAACGCTTTATAAGATTACACATCATTATAACTGAACCCATTAAATAACAAAACAAATAATAATAAATTCGCTATTATGTTGAAGCGTAACTCTGTTAAAGTTCATTCAAACACTCGACCACACTGACAGCTCGCACTATAGAAACGAGAACCAGCTGGCCGTATGGGTGATTTTGGAAATTTTCTGAAATTTATGAACGGTTTGGCTCGTCCTGAATATTGACTGAGTGCAATTTGTCTTGAAAAATTGTGAAATACCGCATTCTGTCCGAGCTCTGTATGATAAATAGTACTGTTTCACCTCAAATGTGGTGTATAAAAATTATAAAAGGTTGGTTTAAACACCCCCAGATTTGCTGGCAAGAATTATTAATATAGTAAACCTGTCGAACGCAAAAAAATTTGGCGTGATTTGTTTTCCAAGAATTTGTTTTCGAGGCCTAATCTACTGTGATCTTGAATGTGATCGAAGATGTTTGCTATTTTTTGGGTGTACATATAAGGTTATCAATTCGATGTAAGATGTTTCACTCTAAAATAACTTAGCCTTTCCCTCAAAAGTCACATGAATGTGCCCTTAAGTTAAATGATTTGTGGATTAAAAGTTTATTGTTTGATTTAAATTATAAATTTATTAAAATTGGAGCTTCGCTTTTAGCCCTGGCTAAATCTATATATTAGTATAGTCTCCTTTGCAGCTGTTTTTAGGCTCATCACACAATGCTCATGGGGACGAGCATTGCTTGACAAGCCTAAAAACGGCTGTGAAGGAGACTAGTCATAGTAGGAACCTCAGTTTTGGCCTTTTTCCATTGACACTTAATGGCAACAGTTGATTTTTTGAAACACTTTCGATCAGTTTAGGGAAGACGCTCTTGCACCTTTTTTGATTTATCAATGTATAAGCAACTCCAGAACATGATGAAAATGAAACATTTTTGATAGTATGAATCAGTGGAGAAATCTAAAGATCAGTTCATGAGTTAACTGAGAAAAGGGGCTTGAGCTATCTTGCAACACATGTATTTCATGTCTCAGTGATTAAATTAGAAAAGCTTTCTTGAAATTTGCTTTTTAGTAGACTGTGATGGTTGTAACGAAGGAGATTTATGTCTGATTGGTTAATCTCATCTGTAATTTAATTTGTTAATCTGTTGAAAGTCATTCCAAGCATGGAAAACAACAGGAAGGTGATGGGCCGCTTATGAGGCGTCGGTAAAAATATTTCCTCTCATTCAGACTGATAGACTGTATGTGTAAAAAGGACCTGGTTTGAGTGAAAACTGTTTCGTTTCCCAAGAACAGTATTGGTACTTACTTTTTGTGGTAGAGGTTTCGGCCTCTTTGAGGAAATCGTGGTGAGCGATCAACGGATCAATCAAACCCAGTGATTCAAAACCCACAGTGTTTGGTGCAATGAAACCCAGGAGATGCGGAGGAAAATTTCAAAATCTCTGACATAGATCAACTAATTCTTGCACTAGTATTTGGATGTGGGGTTATTTTGATTTAAAAAATCCTTCACATTTTGTTCTTTTTAATTTATAAATTATTAATAAGTTTAATAATGTTTATGTCTCTTTAAATTATCAGCTTCTCAGAATGATCCTTTGAAGAATATAAACTCACATTTTTAGAATTTATTAATATGTTAGCTAAAGGAACAAAAAAAATGTCTTAACCCTTAAGCCCCAATATCCACTTACAAATTCTCCAAACTGATCTCTATACATTTCCTTTAAGAATTAGTTAAGAGAATTTGATAAAAGATCAAAGTATTTTCTCGTATGTGATCATTTTATTAATTCTCATAACCTCATCTCATGACAATATATGGATATCGTTAGGAGAAAATTGCTGTTGGTCACTATTGGGACTTAAAGGGTTAATAGCTACATGTACTAATAAAAATGTTTTCTTTCCTTTTTTGTCTGGTTTTCATAGGAATCATGAGGATCACTAACATTCGTTATGGACGGATTGTGTTCATGGCTGTTGCAACCATTTTGATTTTGTTCATGTTTCTGTTAGCACAATTTAGTTTACGTGCTTCAGGTGGGAAAGGTATATTGGACCGAGCCAGGCAACATTTTAACCACTGGTTCCAGAAAACTGTGTTCAAACACAACTGGGAGGACATCCACTGCCGCAGAAAACATGGTAATGAAACGATTGTGGAAGAAAGCTGGATTCCTGAATTGGCAAAACAATTAAATTTAGATGCCGAAGACACCTCTGTGTTTGATAGTAACACTGGATGCAATGAGTGGCTAAAACTCATTCGGAAACAGTATCCAAAGATGAAAATTGGAGGTGCCCATGCCAATCAGTATGCCGTGGAATATGCCAAGAGGTTATTTAATGATACGCCAGAAACATTTGGAACTATCGGCCCTGATGGAAGACTAAACTTCTTGAAGGATGGATTGCAGTTTGCACATGCTATTAACTATGGAGGGCTTAAAGAACTGGGAAATAAAGAGATGCAGTGCAATCTGGTTAGAGAACTCTTACGAATCTTGAAACCTGGTGGTTCGTTGTACCTTGGTCACAACATAGAGGAAAATGAGTGTCGTGTACTGAATAAATATTCAAGTGTTGCTCTTCCAGGTTGTTATTGGTCAGAGACTTGTCTGAAGAATCGTACTGATATTGCAGAAATCTACTACATCAGAGAAAAAGACCTTTTTGGAGACCATTCAGAAATTGATGACTGTTACACGGCAGTGTTCATTCATAAGAAAGTGATCATTTCAAAGGGGACAGATGGGCATGAAAATCCTCCACCTAAATATGAACCACACAAGAGAATGTATTACTGTACCTTGGAGCAGCCAGTTTCTAGAAAAATAGCAGACAAATTTCAAGAACTAACCAAGCATGTGTTAAAATCAGATGTTGTGTTCCCAGGAAACTTATATCAGGGGTATAAAATGGCTAAAAACTTGCACAGTTTAAGGAAAAATTTATCAGAGTCTCACACCACTAACTAATATACAGTCTCTCAGGGATCCATATTTATTTTTTCTCACAGTCGTCAGCCAGGCAAGTAGACCTGATGGCCACTTGCCCGGTTACAATTTGGGTTGCCCGGACAAAAGTGCAGAATTAATAATATAAAAGAATGGTGAAAAAATCGTGTGCAACTTGAACATTTCTGATTAGCATGTTATTTTCGTTTTAGTTACTAAGAAAGGGTTTTAACTAAACTGTTAAGTACAACAGGTCACAGGCCAAGGCTAAACACAATTTATTCACATTTTACAAGTAGTCATGGTTGGTTAGTTTGCCATGAAGGCAAGATGGTGTGCTTACATTTTCCCCCATAAAAGGCAGAGGCCCCTGCATTGATCACCTTTTTTTTCGTCAAAGGTAGCGAAACGTCTTATGCGTATAAGGCACCGGCTTCTGCTTCACCTTTTTTTCCCACCAAAGGCAATGAAATGCCTTCTAAAAAATGCAACATCTTTAATAAAAGTGCTGGACATCACATTTTCTACAAATGGCCTCTATATGCACCACTTCACAAAAAACTGAGCCTGTGATCGTTTCGTAGAAAATACTGCACCACCAAAGATGGTGCCCAAACTTACGATTTTATTGCAGACAAAAGGTGCTTGTTATTCTCCATTATTCTAAAAGTTTTAAGTGGATGAGATAGTTATCAGAACACTGGGAAAATGTGTAAAATCATATATAAGAATTTTTGCAAAGATTTTGTGATTGAACAAAACCTCACTCGTCCGAAGGGTGACTTTTGAAGTTTTTTTAATCGTCCATATTAGATTGTAGTCATCTGGGACGACTGGGAATATGGATCCCTAGTCTCTATTATTATTGTATTTAACTGTACCCGAGGGGAGGGGGTTGGGTTTGGGGAGGGAAAGCAATTTGAAGCTGGAAATTGCCCATTTTAAGAATGGGAAAAAGGAACTGGGGTGTTGATGAGACATTTTTACCTCTAGGATTGGGATTTGAGGAAACTGAAAACAAAAAAAAAATGGATTTCTGCAAATCAGTGGTCTATGACCTGGAGCAACACTTCCACACTAGGCCTATGTCATGGCATTATGTAATTTTTTTGGCACAATAAATAAGTACTTTTCCTATAAAAAATAGAACCTCTGCTCTGTATGTGTGCATATCTAAATAGTATAAGAATGTCATATATTATATTATATGTATGTCATATATATTATTATATCTATTAAAATGTCTTTTTAACACTACTGAACTAGTTCTGATAATAATGGCATACAGTATTTTGATTTATGATTGAGTTGATAATAATTATAATAAATTGATCAAACTCTCGGCTATAAGCCGAACCCCTTTGTTGGGAATGTTTTTGGTCGATACAAGTCCAAATTTCTGAAAAAATCGCTCGGTTTATAGTCGAATAAATACGGTAATATGTATGTACAGTACTAGATATATAGATCTACATGTACATATTAATTTATAATATTATCAACTCAATCATCAACTAAAATGCTGTATGTCATTAATCATTAATTATTGGCTTAGTTCATTAACTTCAACTTGATATTAGCCCTGGTTTCATGACTGTTTTAACTTTATTGTTTGTAACTCATCCATATTACTACTCTGGGTGCCAGAGACTTTTCATACTTGGCCTTCAGTCAAAGATATGTTGGCCTGTGGCTGACACAGCGGCTGAGAGGCGTCCCTCCAAACTCAAGAAATACCTTTGGTACCCTCTGTACATAGTTTGCACTACTTCAAGTTTCACATTGATATGTTTATGACAAAGGTATGCCATGTGTTAAATGCATGTCTTGAGCTATGGCTTTTCAGGTCTCAACTAAATCTGAAGAGTTCTCATTTGAGTTTAAAATCATAATTAGGCCAGTCTCTTCTTTTAATGAATATTTTTTTAGCTTTTTAAATAAGCATACTTGCCTTAGTCAGGCTCTTAATTGAGTTATCCAGCTTGTCACAATTGAAAGGGCATAGTAAACATTTATGTGGTACTGTACTGAGGAAGGTATTTGAATGTACAGGTGTTTCGTAACGACTTTAAAGCACTTTTGCCTCCCAGAAATTTTGTATTTAATGATGACTGATGTCTGAATAAAGTAGAACACACAGGGAGCTTAAAATTGCTTAGAGTACTATGTTAAACAAGCTCTGTAAACTTTTTAAAAAAGAGTACGTTTAAAACGTCTATTTTTTTCTTTGTATGTCAGTGAATCAAATTAACGTAAACAGGCATTAATGAGAACTTGCCTGTTGTAGCATAAATTTTGATATCAAGCCTCTGCCCTAAGAAAAAAGGTGGGCTTTTAATCTTGCATGCCAACTGGACGGCTATTCTTTTTGCAAAAACTAAGAATTTCTTGTCTTCCAAAAGGTAAAAGTAAATCACCAGGCTCCACCAGCATACCCATAAGCTAGAGAAGCCACACAGCGCACCTTGTGTACTGACATCAAATTTCAATTTGACATTAATTATAATAACATTAAAATGTTGTAGCAAGCACTATAGCATGGAGCAGTGTAGATGTGTTTTAGACTACATTCATTTTAAATGAGTTGTGAGAAAAGTTTGTCTTCCATGGTCTACATGTTTATTATCATGTGCAAGTCTGTGCATGGAAAAAATTGCAATGCCGTGAAGGTGCTGTGGCGCAACCTCGTTCCCAGGGTTGAAAACTGCGTTCTGAGTCCGCTAACGACTCCATCGTTTACGATCAAGTGAAAACTGGGTCTTCGCAGCCGGAAGAACTAAACCAATCGATCACAAAGCGTGGGAACGTGAGTGTGATTGGGCTATCCTTCTGCTTCTGTTTCCGACTCAGACAATCAGCGACGGAGTCGTAAACGGATCGAGTGTGTAGAAAATGGAAACATTCTGATTATTCTGACCCTGATTCCGCCGATCTTACTACAACTGCGCTTACGACTCCGCAGGGGGAGTAGCCTAAAAAGGGGAGAGGGACTGGGGAGAAAGGCTCCAAGACCATGTTCCTTCTGTTCCTTCTTAATGTTCCTTCGCCCTTTCGCGTTTTTCTCTTCTATCCCCCCCCCTCCCCTTTACGCCCCTGCCACCTGGGCTAGTCCTTAAATGTCACTTTACTATCTTTCATAACAAATAAAACAAGGCCCTGCGTTCTAAAATAACACATAATTCATATAGTACTGAAAAATAATGCAAATAAAGTTTCAGTGAAAAATAAGTAAGAGCAACCTAAATACATTTGAACCTCCAAGTGCAACCATCTCTCGTAAGCTACCACCTCCAATAAGCGACCACTTATCCAAAATCCCAAACATTTTCCATTTTCTTGTGAAAAATATATCAAAGACTTCCAAAGTTTGCAAAATAGATTTATCCGTTGAGACGACAGCCATCTTCGCCTACCAACAATTAAATTAATTTAATTCAATTTTTCTTTTTATGATCCGAGTCCATCTGAGTCCAATTTTATTTTATTTTTTTATTCGATCCGAGTCGATCCGAGTTGATCCCACCTGCCGGACTGGCGGTCCAAGTTGATCCGGTCCAAAGTAAAATTTTACTCAGGGTGTAAACTTCCAGCACACTTCTGAAAGATGAACGCTTTGGAAGATTCATTAAACACAGATCGACAGAAGACCTTCAGCGAATTGTTAAATATGAACGCTTTACGAAGATTCAGCACACTTTTAAAAGATGAACGATTTACGAAGACTAGCCTGCGAAAACAGAATAGCAGCCGACGACACACGAATCACTACTTGAGTTAGCGCGTCAAAATGAGGCAAAACGAAAGCAAGCGCCTCAAAGCGAGGCAAATAGGGACTTTAAGATCCAACGACGCGACGGCGACAAGAACGTCGCTTAAAAAGTGAATTTGCGTTCTTTCAGTCTTTATAGCGATTATTCCTACCCACTTACTTTGTCAATTATAGGCGAACCCTCCTGAAGCTGAATTTCAAGGGACCAAATTAAAGCTCAGAAAGAGAAATAAAATTTCGTCGTTGCTTGTTTACTTCCTCCGTAAAACGCGAAATTAGGCATTTTCACGTCGTAGTCGTGCAAAAACGGGAAAGAAATGTACAAAAAAGTGTGATGCACGTGCGAAGTTGTTGTTTTGCTAATTAAACCAATTGTTTTTTTGACGTTCTCGTTGTCGTCCGCGACGTTGGATCTTAAAGTCCCTAATGTGTGTCGACGACGACGACGAATGCAACCTCGAAAAAACCTCCCTTATTAATTACACAGGACACCCAAAAATGCACAGAACGCTCAACACAAATTAGGGGTTGCGTTCTCGTACCTCCAACGCAATTAGGAACAGGAAACGGCGAGCTCAAAATCCTTCAAAATCGCTCAAAAAACCTCTTTTGAAGCAAAAGGACGACGATGTACCACAGGTAAGGTAATTCAACGTTTATTATACATACTTAGCGACGTATCGTTATAGGTGAAGCAAACGGTAAATCCAGTACATTTAACTTGCTATAAAATAACATGCGGTTACACACACACATTGTGTGGGTGCTCTGTGCCGAAAACTTTGAAGCAAAAAATGTAAACAAACATACCAGTTTTCAGTAAATTGTGTTAGCTTGCAAAAGAGAAATTTTATCAACCTATCTTTGAATAACCTGACTCCAAATTTTGTAGCATCTTTTGTTTTTTGAGGAAGAACATTTTCTTTAAACTGATGAATTTCCAACTCCGAAACATCAACAAATCTGGCTGCCCGCTTTGAAAACTGCTAGCCTTCAAAGTTATAATCACTGCACGGTGTATAGCGGGATGAAGTGAACATTGAAGTGCATCAAGGTCTTGATGCATGGCCGCTTAAAAGAGGTGACAACAAAGAAAACTCTCATTGGGATGGCCAAAAGGTAGTTGTGGCCGCTTAATGGAGGTTGAACTTTATGTCAGGAAATAATCGCATGTCATGATTCTCGTAACTGGTTTGTATTCTTGTAAAACATAATGTAAATTAAAGCATCCTTTAACGATCGTGGTGGTTTAATTTTTTGTGACTCTCGCTCTTTTCCTGTCATTTTTTTCATCACCCTCCCTTTTGAAGGGCTTAAAAAACTGCGACCCTCCCCTGTTTTCCACCTCCCCTCCCCCCTGCTAATTTCTGACAAGTCCCTTAGTATTTTATATAATAGGTCAGTCATAAAAGATAAAGTCATAAAGTCATAAAGGATGTGCCTCAGATTTTATACGTAGGGCTTACATGAGGTAGTAACTCAACGCTGGCAATTTTAATTACTACACTGCTAGAAGGTGATCGGGATTGTCACGTGACTGCAAGCAATTGCAGTCTATTCCTGTATATGAGATAGTGTTGCCGCATTAAGCAATTAGTAATCTTAATCTTTGATTACTAAAATTAGTGGTATCGCATTGGGCAACAAAGCAGTGAGGACAGCCTGGTTCAGTAAAATACCACTGTACTACTTTTTTTTTCAACTTTGTTTACTCGGAAGCTGAGATTTCTTTGCCCTCATGATAAGGAAGTAACTGTTTTCTGACAGATGACAGCATAGCTGCCCCCAGACTCGTATCCAGGTGAAAAAGATCAGCGCAGTTGGACCAGTTGTAGATATCAAAATCATTTCTCTTTTTGACTATTCTATTTTTCGTTTGTTTGGAAAATGTTGTAGTATACGTTGTAATGATTGTGTTCTGATTTAGATATAAGGGGCTTGCTTAGTGCTGTAGATTCGTTCACCTCTAAGCGTCTACTTGTACAATCAACTCAGCTAAAATATCAAAGCCGGTGTCACGAATTATATTAATTAGGTTGTTTCGTAAAAGGTTTCAACTTCGTCTAGTGTGAACTTGTAAGTTCCTGCCAGAAATGTTCGTGCGAAGGTGCTACGGTGGCTGTGTCCGCTCGGTGGGCTGTAAGTATAGCCAAGGTTGCTGTAAGAATTGCTATTAGATGACGCGTAGTTTTCGATGTTAATGTCATGTCCTCCTCCAAATGTAGGCCCATAGGATGAGTAAAAGCATATCGATTCTTTGCGATGACTACATAGCCCTGACTGAGACAATTTGACAGGCGCCCATCCTGGCTTGTTTACCAGCGAAAATAAGAAGGCTTTTGAGTCGTATTGATACCGCCAGGAACCAGAAGCTAAAAGAAATGAAACAAAACTTTTCTAAGACAAGTTAGCGACATTGTCCTTGTGCCTGTCATAATGATGACGATGATGATTTATTATTATTATTATTAATTAAAAACAAGAAATATCTTATTCTCATAAAACAAATTCGATCGAGTTTCTCGGTAACGTTCGTCATTTATCAAAAACAATATCAGTTTCTATGACTTCTTTATTATTATCATTATCATTATCAATATCATTATTATCATTATTGTTATATTACTGTTATTATTATCATCATCATCATTATTATTAGTATGAATATTATTTTATTGCATTATTATTTACGTCCAGGTATTTTGGTAAAAGATACAGCTACACTAATGGCAAGCGTGGTTCGTCCGCTCAGAAGAGAGTATTATGTGGCTGCAAGCTGACCGAAGCTGAGGTGTCGGCCTGTGGGATATGTTAATTTTAAAAGATTTGCAATTGCAAGCAATAGATCGGGGAAAAAAAATTAGTCATTAATAAGATATGTTCTTATATAACTTTATGGAGAAAATCTCCAAATTTATCTGTTTTTGTCCTTTTTACCACTTACCGAAGCTAGAAGCTTCTTTTTTACATGAAGTGGTGCACGTCGCAATACACTTATTGGTAAATTAATATTTCGTTCGATTGTAAGGGTACTGTATTAAGAAGACAATAAAGGAAACAGATAATAAAGAGTTTTAGGAGCTTTTATCCTTGAAAAGGTATAAAACATTATGTATTTCTGTCACCCATTTCAGTCTATTAAGTTCGTTCGAATCCGAAGAAAAGATTTTCCTCTTCGCGACATTTCGCTCAGGCAAAATTACGAAAGTTTGTTCGGTGAAATGAACCTTCGTCTTGGTGTATCACGTACGTGGACATGTCAAAAAAGCGTGTTTCTTCTTTGCCAAAATTTGCGAATTTCACCAAAAACTTGCGATGAAGTACGTTAGTTGCTTCTTTTGCAATATGGGAATTGAAGGACGGAAGATAGCAGGTGGCAAGAAAGTCAGAACAATATCGATACTTTATAACCTAAAAATTATTATTATTATAGTGTTAGCCTGGAATTTGGGTACGTTTTGACAGGCTAGAAATGCGTCACTTATCATCTGCCGAACCAGAACTTGAGAAGAGGGGTGGGGGGGCGCTCATTCACACCATGTGAGTGTAGGAGGGGCGGTCCTCGCCCCTTGAGGAAATAGCTCTAGATGCGGTTCCATATCCCCTCGTAACCTGGAACCTTTGTACGCCACTACTTAACCATGTATGAAAGGTAGAGTTACATGACTCCATATTGCTACGATCTAGAGCTATTAACCTAGAACCTTTGTACGCCAATGCTTAACCATGTATAAAGAAAGGTACAGTCAGGTGATTTCACACTGTTAAGTACCAAGCTGCAGTTTTAGCTGAACATATCAATGCCAATTACGCCAAAGGTATAAATGCCACTGTCATGGCTTACAATGCTCACTTGCCCCATGAAATACTAGTGTATCCTCCAAAAATATATCTCCTGACCCTTATTATTGTCACAGTCGGACCCTTGCCGTCACATCGGGAGTGAAATGTACTTGCAGCCCAGCCGTCCACGGATGCACGCCAACAGCGCTTCCAGAGAGAATTCACGCTTTTTGCCACAGGTGCTAGCCAGTTTCTTAACAAGGTCAAGTGATTTCTGTTGTTTCCCACAATGACTGAGCTTTCAAAATCTACGTATTAAAAGTCAAAGTCCATAAAATGACAAGGTAAAAAGTTTTTAAAATGTTAAAATAACTGAATTTATTGAGAAAAAGAGTAGCATTGCAAGTGACTAAAGAAAGCATTTATGCATGCATGTACGTGATTTGCGCGCTATTAAGGAAGATTAAGCATTTAAGATCATTGAAACTCTTAATAGTAAACACGCATAATCTGTAAGCGCAACATACAGTCGCAATGATAGTAGCTGTCGTCTGGCTTTAGCAGTGATTAGATGGCTTTTGAATGCCTGATAAGTAAACAAACAAACAAAGAAACAACAAAAATTTAAAAAAAAGCAGTATTCAAATAGATCACCCTGCGATATATTTCGGTATAGCCGTATAGTTCTCGCAGTGGCAAAGTTAGACTTTCGAAAAACTGTCCTTCCTAATGAACACTCTTATCTGATGTTTTACCAAGATCGCAAGCTGGATAAGACGGATTTGCACTACTAAAATGAACGTTTAATCTAAGGGTACCTGATTCTTGGTTTGGGCATTGTATAATTGTGCACTGGGAAGCTGTTGTTTAGTGGACGCTCAAGTAATATCATATAGCAGTGAGTTCCGTACGCCCAAATGCCCAGTGCCCAATTACCAAAGCAACCTTTTATTGAATCAGGTATATACAAAGTGGGACGGTGCCTGGAATACAAACCTGAACGCACTTGTACTGCTAGGTTGACTATTTTCTTCTTTGTTCCCATAATATTAGTAGCTACGCAGTCGTAAAAACCGTTGTCAGCAGGACTCAAGTTGTTAATGGTAAGTGTGCCTTGGTTTATAGTAGTCTTTCCAGCAGGTAAAGGCATTGCTGCTCTAGTCCAGGTTACCGCGGGGAGAGGATATCCGTCAGCTTGACATGTCACTTGAAACGTAGTGCCTTGAACTTGTGTGGCAAGTGAAGGTGGAACTTTTGTGAAGACTGGAAGACCTGAAATAGAGCCAATACATGATCGACCAGCATGCATAGAATATAATGTGGTAGGCGTTTTGAGAGGCCAGCGGCACATATCCAGAAAAAATTAACCTAAGTAACCTCCCCGGTTGGTCTAAGCTAAAAAGGGAGAAGAAGAAGGATGGTGTTGTGTGTCCTCGCGTTCATGTAAGGTCCAAATATTCCCGTCGTGTGTTATTATCTTTAACATTATTTAATGTCTTTATGTTTGTATGGCTCAGATTAAAAGTTGAACTACACTCGTGACTACTATAGCCTAATGCCAATAAGCAAAATCTATAGTCCTTGATCATTAGCATAAGGTATGTGTAGGTAAATTTAAAGTTTGGCGTTATACACTGCTTAAGAAATAAGAAAAAATGAAAGCAGAGATAAAAGTACACGATTAAAAAACAGTGCCATCAGTTTTTATTCAAACCTCGTATTCTCGCATTCTCTGAGCACAAAGAAGCCTACAAAATCAAGCAGCCAGATATAACTAAACTCTAAGTTAAATGCTCCTCTTACCTCGAACAGTCAAGTTGCCAGTGGCCTCAGACGATCCAAGAATGTTCCTGGCAGCACATGTGTACAGTCCAGCATCGCTGTAATTTAGATTTCTAACGATCAACTCTCCTTCTTTAATCAGATACTTTGCACCTGACAGAAGCTTTGTGCCCTTAAATTGCCATTCCATTACTGGGGAAGGGTTTCCTACAACCGTGCAATAAAATGCCGTATTTCCTCCCTCATCTCGTGTCTGCTCTGCTGGTGACAACATCACTTGTGGAGCAGATATCGATTTTCCAGGCCTTCCAGGTGGTCCCGGCATACCTTTTGGCCCAGGCTCTCCATTGCTTCCCTTTTCTCCTCTCGGTCCTACAGGACCAATTATTCCTGTTTTTCCGGATTTTCCAGGGAGTCCCATGGGACCTTGAGGACCTTTATTTCCCTTTGGTCCCCTCCTGCCACGTGGTCCCCTCGCTCCAATGGGACCAGGATATCCGGGGGGACCTGCAGGACATACCTTCTCACTTGACTTACAGTACTTGGTGGGCATAAGTTGTTCAAACTGTTTGCTGATTTCTTTTCTCACTTCATGTATGGTGACGCTAGTTGAAGAGTCATTTGAAACATGTCTTGGCCTTCTTAGCCGGATGGTTGCTGATGCCTTTTTTGGTAACGGGCTGGCTACAGGTAAGTAAAATTAAGAAATTTTTAAATATCCATGCTAATAAATATTTAAAATAAATAAGGGAGAAAACAAATGAATGAACGAATAAATGATAAGGTTGGCATTTCTAACACAAAATTAAGCTTTTCAGAGATTGCGTTCAACAACAAGGTTTACACTTTGGAACCCGTAACTTTTTAATTTGTCCCCAATCCGAGTCTCCACCCCGAGGTCCAACCCCTTACCCCTTTTAACAATTTGATTCACACAGTGCTGAAAAATATTCTTTTCCTTCAAGAACTAAGCTCTTAAAACAAACAGATGAACGGAAAAAAATGCTATGCACTATTGCCTTTTGTCACGCCATACGTGCTCAACCCTAAACAAGCTCTTATGGAAAACTGTCATGCACGTTCTGGAAGCACACCCTAAAATGCTCAGGGAGCTTCCCCTGCCAGTCTACAATATAAGCGATGATTTTTTGTTATATGAAGCTTTCTGGCCGTATCTTGTACGTTAGCAAGTCGTTCGGCACTTTCACTTCATTTACACCGTAAAATTCTTTACTGTTTTACAGTACAGGCGGCTTAATGAATATCTAAGCAGTATTACAAAAGAGCAAGAATATTACAAAAGGGTTAATACATTGTTAGTTGAAGTTAAAATTCAATTCTGTCATGAAATATCCAAAGATCCCATACGCGTATGCAAGCGCAAACTCGCACCATGAAAGATTATATGCCTAAATCAAAAGGGATAAACTCAGTTCTAAACATGTATCTTCACCTAAATAACATCTGAAGCGAAGATTTTACCTGATGTATAACCGATCCTTTCGGATACATGTGTCAGCTGAACCTTCTTATAAAGATCTCTTGCTGTAGCCTCTGTTGGTGAAAGAGATATCCTGCCAGTATTTTCAGTCGAGACACTCTGAACGCAGGGGTAAAGGTTAACGCGAGATTCCAGCGCTATCAGTCCTTCGATTGTTGTCTCATTCTTCACCCAGAGACATCCGCAGACAAAAACTAATACAACAGAAAGGAACGATGGTCTGAGTGACGGAAGAAAATCAAGGAGTCGACGAGATTCTGAGGAGTTCGAGGATTTCATTTCTGCAGCTTGCATGCCAATTGTCCCATGCATATGAAGACGGAGGAAAGTGGGAAACTTGCCAGTAAAACTTGATCCTTAAAAATTTCGCTTAGAGAAACATGTCATCACGATTGGCGTAAAGATAACAAGACTTTATAAGCAGTGTCACAAGGCGCGGCACTGACAGTTATAAAAAAAATTAACTTATGGCCATGGGGGAAGAAGAAGGTGAAGAACAAAAACAAAATATTCGTGTATGTAAGGGAAACCTAAATGAAAAAATTCATGCACGCCAAGAACCGCCAAAAAAATATTCATGCACTAGCCTAAAAAAATCATATAAAGGAAATGCTAACGAAAAAAATTCATGCGACTTTTCTATAATGGTCTGTCCGTAATTGACCTTCTTTCTTTTTGCGTTTTTGTGTTGCAGTAAAACGTGCTCAATAACGGTGAAAAGCGGAAAAAATTGAGTCTTTGTATTTATGATTGATTTCGGTTTTTTTTTTTCAAGTTTCCAGCAATAATTTTCATCAAGATGGATTATACGCTTTTTACTTGTGTAGTTCATTTCTGTCTGAATGAGAATTCGGTTAATCATTTAATCAGAAAAAAGGTTCTCCTTTCTTGTCGTGGGAAGGAAGAGGGTAGTCACTCCCTTTAAGAAACCAGATAATGACAGCTAAGGTGAGGCTCCGCGCGCTTGAAAGGAAATAATCTTTCTCAGGCTTCAGCTTAAGCAAAGGGTAGGGAAATAATGAATAGAATTATTTGAAAGGGTAGGAAAACTTATCATTCTGAGCCCAGTTGTTCGAAGGCCGATTAGCACTTGACCCAGGGCTAAATTTAACCCGGTTTTTTTTTTCTTTTGTTCAAAAGCATTTCCCCAGATAATTTTCTCGATTCTTTCCAGAGCATCCAATAATCAGATTGTAGGCAAAAACAATTACCTGAATTTACTATTTAAGCTTTCACATCTGAATTCAAATCACTTCGCAACCCTAGGTTGTCTTGACCCAGCTTTGAACAACCCGGCCCAGTTATTTAAAAGGGGCTTAACACGATGGTCGGTTGCTATGGCTTTTCTCCCCCAACTTTCAAAACTGAGTTTTTTAGGCCATAGACAGCTGACGTAGAATGCAACGGTTTTATCGTAACTTGGAAGGGAAGTAGTAGGATGAATGACGTGCAGTTTCGTGTTCATTAGTTATAATTTCATCCCATTTAAAATGCTATAGTGAAGCTATAATTGACGTCTAAATTGAGCATAAAGTAAAATTTAGGAAAGCAATGTTGAAAACTTATAAAGTTTCTGTTAGGTAGGGAATTGTATGATTTTTGGTGAAAACTCCATTTCAATCGGATAAAAAGGTGTAAAGTTAAAGTTAATTCAAAAATTCAAATTTCCCGCCACATGACCATATATAGTCAAACTTTAGGGGTATTTTTAGGCGAGAACAATGAATGTATTGGCACAGGAGCAAGGAGAACATTGCATAAAATTGGAAAATTAAACGAGACTTACCTGTAAGTTGAAGTTTGATTGAGATTCTATCACATGACATCAGAAGGCAAGAGATCACATGAGATAGCACAGCGCTTGCGCAAGTCATAATTAAAAGCCACGTACTGGGTGCATCAAAAACAACATAACATGTAGGCTAAAGACACCAAACAGAAAACCCAAAAGCAACCAAGTTGCCTAAAAACGGGTGGGTGTTATGTGGAGGGCATGTGATCTCTTGCCTTCTGATGTCATGTGATAGAATCTCAATCAAACTTCAACTTACAGGTAAGTCTCGTTTAATTTTCCAATTCTATCACATGACCAGAAGGCAGAGATCCCATGAGACTTCAAAGCGTGGATGCACCCGTACGACATGCGCTCAAACAAGAGGCATGAAATCCAACAAACAATAGACCAAACATAAGCAATGATAAACATGTTATATTAAAATGGTCTAACAGTAACAAATTATGCAATAAAGCACACATGGAAAAACAAAATATTTCACTGGCCAAGAATAGCGGCAGTTAGTCTGTTTCCTTGAACAACAGGTTTGTTGTAATATTTACGAAAGGTCTCTGCGGACTTCCAGCCCGCGTTAGCCATGATCTCGTGGATAGGGACGTCCTTTTCATTTGCTTTGGAAACAGATGCTGACCTTGTGCTATGTGCAGTGAACACATTGGTATCAATCCCACAAATTCTAAGAGTTTCTTTAGTCCACCTTGAAACCGTGTCCCGAGAGACAGGTTTGTGGGGCCTTACATAACTAATAAACAATTGAGTTTCGCTATTACGCAAGTTCTTTGTCTTGTTAATATATGCTTTCAGACAGGCCAAAGGGCAAATTGTACTGTCTGGCTCATAAACGGAAATGTCAATCTTCGTATGTGGGCTCCTGGGAGTACTAGTCTTGATATGCTCAGCGAGGTCAAAGGAATAATTATCTTCTTCCATGGTAACATGCTGAAGATCTAGCAAGTGTATCGATTGTCCCCGTTGACTGGAAACTAATAGAATAAGCATAAGGGCCTTGTATGTCAAATCCTTTAAAGGCAATTTTTCATTGGGGTATAGGGAAGATAAATGTTTCAGAACCACCGAAACATCCCAAATTTTGTCGTATTTAGGTTTAGGTTTGCGGGTTTCAAATACCCCTTTCATAAAACGTGTAACAACATGATTGCTGCCAAAACTTTTCTCCCCGTCTATCATGACAATGGTAGATAAGGCAGAGCGAGCTGTATTAATAGTGGAGTAGCTAAGTCCTTGATTAAATAGGTCAGTGAGAAATTGGAGGGTGTCGCTCAGTGGTGGTGCATAACAATCAATTTTCCTTTCACGACAAAATGCCATCCATTTTTAATGTATGTGGCATACTGTTTTTGAGTGCCTTTTCTCCAAGATGCCATGAGAATGTCGGTAACCTCCTCTGGAAGGTGGTAACGGCTGAAGGATCCCCTGACACAGGACAGACCATCAGATGAAGATTTTTGTGTAGAGGATGTGGGCCGCTGCGTGACGGGTGTTGTAGAAGGTCTGGGCGTGAGAGCAGAATCCAGGGCTGATCGCATAGGTGCTGTAGGAGGACTGGGAACCACGTTTGGGTTGGCCAGAGAGGGCAATCAGAACTCCCTGTGCTCGGTCGTGACTGATCTTCTGAAGGCATCTTGGAAGAAGGCTAAAAGGTGGAAAAGCATAAAATTGATGCCCTTTCCAATTCATAGTGAACGCATCTATATGTGAACTACTAGGGTCTGCATGCCACGAGCAGTAACTATTTATCTGATTGTTTAGACGGCTTGCAAACAAATCGAAATCGAGTCCGGGAGGCGCAACATGATCTTGTCAAACGAGTGTTTGTCTAACATCCACTCGTGATTATCTGAGAACACGCGTGATTGTTCATCAGCGCCAGTGTTCAGCCGACCAGCTATGTGCACAGCCGAGAGCCAAATGTTGCGTGCAGTACACCATTCCCAAATTTCAACAGCTAGTTCATTAAGTTGTTGTGATTTTGAACCCCCCATGTTGTTAATGTAAGCCAATGCTGTCGTATTGTCGATTTGAATTTGGATGTGGCAGTTGCCCATATGGTTGCAAAAACACTTTAACGCAAAAATGCTGCGAGTAATTCCAATATGTTTATATGAAATTCCTGTTCCAAAGGGGTCCATCTCCCCCGTTTTCTGCGTGCCATAAACAGCTCCCCACCCCAGTGTTGACGCGTCTGATTGAATTGAAACGCTTGGATGATCTTGGTGAATATCTCGTTTAAGAGTGTCAGCATTATTGTGCCACCACTGAATCTCTGCTAGCGCGGGAGGGGAGATTTGCATTTTGCCCGCGAAATCACCCTTGTTAGCTATGAGCGCGAGATATTTATCCCGTTCAAGGTGGCGGTAGTGTAGGGGTCCGTACTGAGCCCCGGGAAAATTGGACACCAGAATGCCAATGACCTCTGCGACCTGTCTGATTGTGGGCATTTGTGTTTGTAAAAGCGTAGCACAGACAGACCGAATCCGTTGCGCTTTATCCTCCGTGGGCGTAACTGTCATGGCAATAGAATCCAATACAAAACCTAAGAAGGTCAGTTTCTGGGAAGGGATGAAAACTGATTTCTCAGGATGGACATGAAAACCTAATTGAGTAAAAAGCGTGACGGTGTCAACGACATTTTTATAACATTCCTTGGAGGTGTCTCCTTGTAGATAAGAATCATCAATGTACCCTGAATTGAGATGTCCCATACTCCGAAGTGTGGAATACACGGGCTTCAATAATTTTGTAAATATGCGCGGGGCACTAGCTAGGCCATTCGGCAAACAGGTATATGTGTAGAAAACACCATCAAAATAGAACTTTAAGTATTTCTGGTGAGATGGATGGATAGGGACGGTATAATAAGCGTCCTTTAAGTCTACCGAAGCCATAAAACAACCTGGTCTCATCATGTTTACTGCAGCCTCTAGTGTATCCATTTTAAAATGATGGTAGGCTATATATTCGTTAAGGGCTTTGAGGTTTAAAATGGTGCGGTGCGTGCCATCTTTTTTCGGCCGCAAGAATATTGTGGATACAAATTCTCCTGTTTCCTGTGCCGCGGGGATAATGACCCTTTTTGCGAGCAGTGTATCAATTTCCTCTGTGACAATTGAATGCTGATAAGCGTTGAAGACACTAGGTCTACCATAATGTTGCGTGGGTGCAACACTGTTTATAAATTCAATTTTAACTCCAGTAACAATCTGAAGAATAGAAGGGTCGGTTGTAATAGTTTGCCACTGCGGCAAAAAGTGTTTAAGTTTCCCGGCTTGGAAACTTGGTTGTGAATTTACCAAACTATTTACAATGTCAATAGACAAAGATGTCGCATCTGCGTTACATACCTCAGGCACCTTTACGGGCGCTGGCTCGTTTCGCCGTCCTTTTTCTTTCTTGGCGGCTTTGAGAAACGGCTTTTCCCTAAAAAATCCGAGGTTTTCCCTCTAGGGTAAGGCTGAAATCTTCTCTGCGAGCCATACGCTGGGCGCCCACCGTACTTGTCATGGCCACGGGAATTCCCGGAATGTTGTGGGCGCACCTTTTTGGTCAACTTGTTGGCCTCGGTGATGTCTTTTGCTAACTTTGTCAGGTCGCCAAAAGGAGCTCTGATGAGCCATCCACAGTGGACACATTACAAAGGGCTGCATAGTCTTTATGCATCTCTTTTTTCATGGCCAGGCGTCGGGAGTGATTAACCTCATGGTTGTACTGAAGTGCCATTGCAACGGAATCAGTCAACAAGGTGATCAGCTCCTTATCTTGGCTGTATTTTCCCAGAGCCAAATCGGCGGCCTTTGTCATGGCTGTTATTGCGCCGATAAGGGTGCTTTGTCCTTTCTGCGATCGGACATCCTGTGCTTTCAGGGCAGTGGAGAGCTGGCTCCAAATCGAAGGGTTTACTTTGGGTGTGCGCAAACCCTGTACGTTCTCTGGACGGGGGTATTTGTCTAGCTTTGCCTTTAGTTTCTCCTCCCCCATCTTTTCGGATAAGAGATTGTTGAAGATGGCCGCCAGCCCTTCGCGAAGGGGTGGGGAGGTCTTCTCGCTGACTGTCAGGTCCTGTGCGAGTTCTTTTAGAAGTTCGTCACCCGGCATAGCCTCGTTGTTTTGATCTGTTCCCGCAGCCGCGAGGAGCGCAGAGACATCTGCATCCATGTCCCCAGAATTGGCGGGCTCGTCAACAGAGGCGGTTTCACCGTCCTCATCTGATTCTTCGTGCCCGCTCTGGAGCACGGTGGTGACGTTGTTGTTTAGGCTGCTTAGCTGGCTTAGAACTGGAGCCAATGCAGTCTTAAAAATATCCGCGAAAGTGTTAGCTGAGGGCATATTTTGGCTGGTATCTTGAGCGGCCATTGACGTTCCAGTGTCCGCGCTCTCTGTGCTGTTTTCGGACATGATTCCAATATCGGCACCCAACTACGTTAGGGCCTAAGCTGGACAAACAATTGAGGCAACTACGTTGGCCTCTCCAGCAGATCGTGTTTCGAAGGTTTTAAGCTGAAAAACTGGAGCTTAAAAATTCGTGACTTAACGCGTTAAACGCAAATCGTGCAATGACTTGCGCAAGCGCTGTGCTATCTCATGGGATCTCTGCCTTCTGGTCATGTGATAGAATCAATATTGTAGTTTATTTGACTATAGGCCATGTGGTGCTATGACACGTTTTTCGTCACGAAATACTTCATTACGCCTTCATCGGATTGACGTGGGGTTTTCACCAAAAATCATTAAAGAAGTCCCTACAGAAACTTGATCTAAAGTTTTTAACAGTGTTCTCCTAAATTTTACTATTGATGCTAAAGTAGACGTCATTTATGACGTCACAATAGCAATCAAGTGGGAGAAAGTTCATAAAAATGAATATGTAATTTATCCAACTACTTCCCTGCCAAGTTTCTTTAAATGCGTTGTATTCTACTTTTATCTGTGGCCTTAAAAACGCACAGTTTTAACAGTTGCGGGAGCAAAAGCCATAGCAACCGACAATCCTGAAATTAATATTTTTCGAAAAAACGAGCCTCGTGACAATATCATTTTAATTTTAAATCATCTCTTACAGTGCAAAGTACACAAGAAAGATGGACTTAGAGCACTGTCATAAACCTGATAACAAATTCATCTGATTTTATATTATTATAATAATAATATATTGAGACTTTTGGTCCTGGGTCATCGTTAAGTTTGATCAAAAATAAAGCTCAAACAGCGGTGATAAATATTGTGAGCTTTCGCGTTGTTATAAACTTGACATTTGGTATGCCTTCAACATACATTTTCAAAAGTGATCTAAATACATTTTCAAAGGTAGTTTTGAAAATATATTTTGTAAATACATTTCAAAAGTGATTATTGGGCTTCTTTTCCTGACCTCGTCTCAGCAAACGAACAGGAGTGAAAGATTACTAGAACTAAGTACGTAGTACTTTTAGTGAAAGAGAGCCATCTCAGCTCAAACATCAGAACCGTTGTCGTTCATTTTATTTAGGTAGGTTGATTCGTAAAAGGTTTCAACTTCGTCTGGTGTGAACTTGTAAGTTCCTGCCAGAAATGTTCGGGAGAAGCTGCTGCCGTAGCTGTACCCGCTCGGTGGGCCGTAATCATGGCCAAGGTTGCTGTAAGAATTGCTATTGGATGATGCGTCGCTTTTTATGTTTATGTCGTGTCCTCCTCCGAATGTAGGCCCGTAGGTTGAGCGAAAGTATATGGAATATGCTTTGTGAGAGCTATATTGAGACAGTTTAACAGGCGCCCATCCTGGTTTGCTCACCAGTGAAAATAAAAAGGCTTTGTAGTCGCATTGATACCGGCCAGATAACGATGCTGGTAAGAAGAAAGAAAGAAAAAATATATATTGAATAGAAAATAAGTTATTAACATTGTCCTACATAAAAATAATAAAATCATCAATAATAATATTAATATTAAAAATAATAATAATTCATAATGAAGGAAATTCGAGTTGCTTAGTTTACATAGGTATGACGAATCACTCTTATGAACTAATGAACGACACGTTTAATCAAGAGCTAATTCAGTTCATTCTTTTCATTCTTTTTAGGAGTTTCTTATAAATATTTTTATTATAAATTGTTCTAGTTATGATAGAATCTACCGTAAGCGGTCACTCTTTGAACCAGACCAGTCAGTTTTTCAGTTTAGGAGAGATTTCCTCTAAAGGGAGATTGAGATCCGTGTTTCTATGTGGCTACAGGCATGCGTACAGGGATCAAGACTAAGGCCCGGTTTTCCAGAGCGACGCATTAAGCGCAAGCATACTTATAAGCATTAGCATTACTTAAGGATAAAAATAAGCATGAACACAAAAAGCGTAATGTGCACTATCATAAAAAGCATGAGCTTAAGAAAAACCCAAGGTTTTGATATTCTTGTACTTATGGTTTTGATTTAGTTTAAGCCGTCCTCATTGGATCCTTATGTGCATGCTATATATACTTGCGTCGCTAGGGAGCACCAGTTTTAAGGAACTGTCCGCTTATCGGAGCTGAGGTGAGGTGTCTGACTACGAGAAGTGTCAATTAGAGATTTGAAATTATGAAAGCAATTGACGGGAAAAAAGAACAAGAATTAGATTAGAATGTTTCGTGTGACTTAAGAAAACAAGTCTCCAAATTCATGTGTTGTTTTTTTTCTCACCATTTCCCAAAGCTTTCTATAATCTGGCGAATTAGTCATAATTATTATACTCTTTCGACAGTAATGAAGCCTTTGTTATTATATTATTTATTATAATAACAATTATTATTATTATTATTATTATTATTATTATTATTATTATTATTATTATTATTTCTATTATCATTATTATTGTTGGGTTCGTTTTGCAGGCTAGAAATTCTCACCACTTTGCTGATCCAGATCTTGAGGAGAGCGGGCGCGGGATTGGGGCTCATTCACACCTTTTTAAGTCTACTGAGGTGAAGCGATCCTCGATCCTTGAAGGGTGGGGGATGCATGCCCGCATGCATCTAAAACCGCCAACCACTAGTAAATCTTTATCCGTCACTACTTAACTATGAATGAATGGCAGGGTTAACTGAGTCTTTATAGGGCAGTACCAAGCTGCACTATGCTTAAATAACTCTACTGGTCACAAAACGAAAGTATACGCATGTTTTGTGGACTTTAGAAAAGCCTTAGCCAATCATAGCGCTCAATTTTCAAGAATCATCAATGTAATTATACTAAGGGCCTGTTTACATTGAGTGGGGGGCCCCGGTCTAGTGGGGTTGGTTTCTTTTGTTTTCATGCTCTAGGGGACACAAAACAAAAGAAACCTACCCCACTAGACCGGGGTCCCCCACTCCATGTAAACAGGGTCTAAAGCGTGATAGCAGCTCGCACGCGCACAAAAATATTTCCGCAGCTGACCGCCCAGCTGAGTTGTTTGTTTCAAAAGAATGAAAACTACTGTAAAATTCCGAAAATAAGCCCCGGGGCTTATATTTTTCAAAGGCTCTTTTTGAGGGGCTTATATTCGGAGGAGCTTATCTACGGAGGGAAATTTGCGTTTCAAAATCGATTGGCCTAGCCTTACAGCTGGAAGTAAATTTACCATTTCTGCTTTGTTTTACTTTGTATTTGCGTGCAAGTTTCCAAGTACAAGCCCCCGGGGAGCTTATATTTTGCGTTACCGGTTTGGGGGGCTTATATTTGGAAGGGCTTATACATGGAGGAGCTTATGTTCGGAATTTTTCGTGTATGTCGTAGCAAAGCGAGGTTTCACGCAATGCAACTTCATCCCGCCCCTCCCCCTCGGGCCCACGCCGCTAAGTCAGTTGCACGCGCTCTATTTTAAGCCCGGATTCAAAGAGAGCGAGAAAGAGAGAGAGAGAAAGAGAGAGCGCTCGCGGTCAATAGTTAGTTATAATATTTGAAAAAAAAAAAAAACATTGAATTGAGGGTCTGAGTTCTCGAGAAGTTTTTTCGGGGGTCTGTCTTTTGAAGACACTTAGGGGGTCTAATTCGGGGTTTCGTGATACCCCGAGTGCTAACCAATACAGGCAGTACAATACACTCAACGTGGCCAGCATCTATGCAAATTTATTGGAACAAAAGAAAGCGTTTGCACAGTGGGAACTCACGCTCTTATTTGTAAACTACAAATAGAAATTCAAAAAGAGATAAAATCTTACCTGTTTTGTTCTATTCTTGAATCTGCTGTGGTGCGAATTGAAATGGAAGTTGTTTTACAATGCGAAAACTATGTTCAAGTCGACGCTTTAACCCGGGGGAAGGGGACACTTGGGTATTTCTTGGGTGGGTATGTGCCGCCTGGGACTCCAAATTGGCACCCCGTTCTAAAAAAATTTCCCCTAAAATTGATACCCCGTTTTAGAAATGGGCCAATTCAGGAGCCCATCAAATGGGCTCCTGGCCAATTTTTTATACCCCGTTCTAGAATTCGCCCTTAAAACTGATACCCCCGTTCTACTTTTCTAGAAATGGGCCAATCTTTTATACTCCGTTCTAGGGTGCAACAAGAGTACAACAGTTTGCTTGTTAACGCATTGAACCGTATTTTTAAAAGAAATCTGTCCTTGAATAAAAAAAGTCAAATGGCTGCTTACAAAATTGGAGCTTTCGCGCGTTCGAAATATTATACCCCGTTCTAGAAAACGCCTCTGAAATGGATACCCCTTTCTATATCAGGAGCTTCAAAATCACGACCCCGTTGGGCGGCACATACCCGTATAGGTAATGTATGGGAGTACCCCCCCCCCCCCCCGGGCGCTTTAACCGTTGTTACAGTCAAACCAAGTCAAGCGTACCCCCTAAGATTCTATCTGTGAATTGATTATTTGAAAAATGAATCCGTTAGTACGTTCCCGTAACTGGTGTCAAATTCAAAGCGGCATTTCTGCATTGAGCAGTGAATATTTTACGAGAACTTCTCTGTATTTGGTCAGATTGGAAATCTTTGAATGGATTAAGCTTCTTAGAAGACATTTACATCAATTTCAGGAAAATGGAGCTGGTAGAAATTTCATAACTGCCTCGCGTGTGAATTCACGGCTCATTACACATACAAGAATGCAGAGATCACTGTAGAGATCAATCTGAAATCTACAACTAGCAACGGATTCAACTTTGGAATAATAAATTCTTGGGGGGTTACCCTGGGTTCCAGAGGATATTTTTTTCTTATCGACACTGATGGTTTTTTTTTTTGCGTTAACGCGGCTTCAGTATCGATACCAAAAAAAATCCTCTGGAACCCAGGGTATTGGGGGGTACGCTTGACCTGTAATTTCACAATTGATTTGTGGTTTGGCTCTCATTTCACTGTTGGTGTCTCGCGCCGGTTG